CATTGCATTCAGCATTAAGTAAAGAAGGTTTAACATAAAAAATACAATTACAAAAATGTTTCCAGTTTTTTCGGGTTTAACATTAAGTTATTATTTCTTATCATTATACCTAAATTCATCCCCACGACACTATTATCAGCCTTCATATCCATGCTACCATCCCCACCTTATGCTCACAGTTAATCTGTGTCCGCTGGCTGTCTGGTGCTGAGCAGCTGTGCTAAGTTAGATTTCTAGAGCCTTTTCACTTAAAACAGCTGCCCTATTGCTTACTACTGTAAGTAAAAGTATTGTAAGCAAATGTACTTATAATATGAAACAGTAAAAAGTAGCTCACTGTGCAGCAAAAAATGGGTCCCTGTCAGATGTTGTACTGCTATATCTGATGTTTTCTGAATAAATATCTACTGCTGCATTTAATGTTGAGCTAACTTTATATACTGTTGTATAACAGTTTAAAGTCATAGTAATCATCCATATTCTAAAGAAGATCATTCCATCTGTTTGTAACATGGCTGGTTCCTGTGAGAAAAGACAGGATGACTGACAGGGAGAAGACTCCTGATGAATAAGAGAGTTAACATGAAACAGTGAAAAGACTCAGGGCTTACAAGGCTAAAAGCTGCTAAGACAGCCAGTAGCACACAATAATCCAGAGATTGAGATAGTCAAACTCTTGTAAATTCTCTGCTCAGGTTACAAGACTGGACCCTGCTCTATTGTGGTACAAAGGTACCAAGTGGGTAGGTTGGTACCCAAATACCTGAAAGCAGAATTGAATACTTTGCTCCAATGCGGAAAACAAACAAAAGACCATGTTTGTTCGACCCCCATAAAGCCAATGTTATACAGTACCAGTGTCCCATGGGCAACAATGGATTGTTTCAAACAAAAAATCAAAACTCATAGCACCCAGAAGGAAGGACCGAACTCTTGCTTTGTAATATGTGAAACAGTAAGGCTGAACGTTCCCTGCTCATTTGGGTATTTATCAGACATGTGGGCTATACATTTTCATGGTATACATGTATAGATGATATAAAGAATATATCAGGAATTTACCTTGTCAAACATTAACTGACCTACCAAAAAAAAAAATCTTATGCCAGTATAACTAAGTCTGTTTATATGTATACTGCAATGGATTTAAGGTCTAAATATAGATTTAATAAATATAGCAGCAAACAATTATTGGGACTTATGTAAAAGATAATGTATGACTGATATCGTCTCTGAGCAGAGAATTCGATGTCCACACTCCCCTCCAGAGTGGAAATTTATACCATATTCACTGTGCAATCTATTGCCCGTGTGCAACTGCTGCTACTATTATGTGTTGGTATTGCACAGTAATTATTGCACTAATAGGCCAGACCAGTTGCACTGAGAGGTGTTTGTTTTTAAAGGAAGTGAGCATTATTCCAGGTGGATAGTGACAGCACTGACTGCTTATTATTAATCAGCAAAAATATATTTAAAACAACAGACAAAAGAAAATTATCCTGTTTCCCAATTCCTGGCATCTGAAATGAGTAGCTTAAAAGATGCACCCATACATCCGTGAATGCACCTGAAGGTTGCATTCTTCTTCTCTTGTCCATCCTCTGCTTCTTTCTCTGCTTCTGTATTTGAAGGACATTAGCACCCCCTCAACAGTAATGCTGCCCTCAACTGGGGATGAATGGGTATGGCATGAATAGCAGTCCATTAAAAAAAAAATCTAAATATATCCGTCTAAAACTTCAGGCTGGTTGCTTAAATCATCATTAAATCCCATCTTCAGCTGTTCAACCAAAAATATACACTGAAGCGCAAGAGGCTGTAAAATGGAAATTATAATCTCTGTAGTTCTCTTGGTCATAGTCATCAACTAAGCCGACTTAAAATACACTATGTTTTTAATCAGTTATTACAGTCATCAGTTTTTACTCCTCAAAGCCAAAGCCAGTGACCTAAATATATACAAAGCAGGTTTAAACTAAATTTCATTCTGTCCACAATACCCAGCACAAAAGATGCAACATGGGATTATATAAAATACTCAAGATTACAATAAAGTGCGTTCTGAGGATACTGGGGTTTTGTTTATCCGGAGGGTGTTCATTAAATTCACATAAAAGATAACAGAACTTGACAGCTCTGACACCAGTTTGGACATTGTTTGAATTACAGCCCTCGTGGGATTTGAGCTTATTCCATTTAACCCATAAACTGACACATAATCAATAGCTAAGTCCATATCAAGTTGACAAATGTAATAATATGAACCTGTGGTTGTTGGTTTTTTTGTATCTTATGTTGCAATATAAAGCTAACATTGTTCTATTCTGCTTTTGCAATATAATCAATATTCTACATATAATATACAATAAAAGGGAGAAAGAGCAACATGTAGCCAATAATGGGTTCCAAGCCCTATGTGAGTCAAATGATTTAACAATGAGAACATGAGACTATGTTACGTTTTAATGTTCTTGTGTTGTATTTTTCTTTACATTCATGCCGTCCATTCATGTGTCACAGGAAAACACAAGCAAACACTGAAATGATCTCATACCAGATGATGTATAGGCAGTGGAAACATTTTGTGTGTAATATTTGGCAAAGCTTACAAAAAACAAACTAAGCATATTTTCCCACTTACCTCTGGTATCCAGCCAGTCAGATAGAATTGGTTTTATCTGCCCGTGTTGTAAAATATTTGCTTCTGAGGTTTCAATACAATAACGATGAGTGGAATTTTGGTTGTGGTGTTCACAGCATTGAGAAATGAGATCTAAAACATTTCCTGGTAATAATCTTCACAGCTCACTGTCAGTAGGCTTCACAGGGACCATTTAATCTAATACTGAGGTAAGCAATCTGGGTTTTACTGTAGCTGTAGGTCATACACTTCTTAAAATTGAACAATTTTTAAATAAGTTGGCAGTGAATGCTAGGAAGCCAAAACAGTGACAGATACATTATATGCGCTACAAGGTTATGATACTGTGAATCAGCTCAATCAGGAAGCAAAAGGATATAGGATATGACAGAATAATTCATAAGCAAAAATTGTTTATGTCTCCCTTCCAGCACACAAAATAAGAACCACAGATCTTGACACATATATCATTAATGTAATTAATTATTTTTAGTGATTAATATAATTAGCATGTTCTCTTAAAGGAACAGTGTACATGATTTAGTGGAATCTAGTGCTGAAGTTAGAGATTGCAACCAACAGAATACCGCTTGTCTTCCAAGCATTTAGAAGAAACGGCCGCGAAACTCATAAAAAGACACAAACTGCCCTATTTAGAGCCAGTGTTTGGT